GGGGGTGAAGCGGATTCCATGAGGCTTTCAGCTTCTTGTGCTTCTATCGCTTGGCGTCCTGCTTACCTCACATGTTTCTTATGTGATGAAATACGGCCCACAGGAGGTACTAATAGCCGAGGGAAGATAGTGAGGAGTTCTCGTTCTTCTTTTGTTTTTTTAAAGAAAGTGTGTATATTATATGTGTACATGTTTGCGAGTTCAATGTTTTGTTTTGTTTTATTTTTGGGGTATTTTTCGCGGACCGGGCCATTTCGCAAAGTGCTCTAGGCGGAGACTAGGATGAGTGACGAGATAGTCTCACCTGTATCTGGCTCTGAAAACCCGCTTCCAGAGCCTCCATTGTCGTCTTCAAATTCTCCTGAACGTCTTTTTCCTGTGAGCGCAGCAGTCTGAGAAACTCTTTCTTGTTCTTCTCCACACTTGATTTCATCTTCCAGAGAATTTCTCGTTTCTGGTTATCACTCTCGTTCTTGTTGCCCTCGACGGTGTGGCTCAGTGTCTGCAACATGACACAGTGGTAAAGGTTAGAGACAGCAGATGACACAGTGGTAAAGGTTAGGAACATCAGGTGACGTTCTTCCTCATGACGCTCTCCCTGCAAACAAAGTAGATGACGTCATAGCGGCATTGGCGAATTGACACCAGGTCACGTGGTTCATTTTTCTGCTTCCTATTCTGATTACCCGAAGTATATCACCACAGACCTACGTCCTTTATCACAACGACTCGAGCCCTCTAAGGACACGTTTCCTTGCACTGATAATACGGGGTGCCCACTACGGCTGGGATCGGCCGATCGGGCCGATCGCCCGACTCGATCGCCTCAAAAACAAACGTGTTTGTTTTCAGTTTCAGGCGATCGAGTCGGGCGATCGGCCCGATCCAGCGTAGTGGGCACCCCGTTTAAGACACTATATATTTCACTCCTATTTCTAGCTCAGCTATACTTGGGTAAATATTGACTCTTCAATATTGGATAACAGTGAGTCCAGGATGTGTTATGTCACCAGACCTCTTTAACATGTGCAGTGAAACAATCCTTAGAAACAGAAAAGAATGCCCAGGTCACAAAGTAAATGGAGAAAATATGAATAACCTCAGATATGCGGGGGACACAGTTTTAATAGCTGGCTCAGAAAAGGACCTTCAATTGCTTCTAGATATTGTTGTAACAGAAAGTGAACGTAAAGTTAGTGTTAAATGTAAAGAGAACAGAATGCCCGGTAATATTTTTAAAAAGCAGCAAATCCTAGTAGTAATCTCATTAACAAAGATGAAAAGATCAAACAGTCCAGCAGTTTAAATATCTAGGATATATGATAACATCTGATGCCAAATGTTCCACAGAAATGAAACGGAGAATCACAACGGCTAAGGCTAGTTTCAATAAAATGAGCCCAGTCCTGAAAGATAGAAACATCTTAATGACTACCAAAGTGAAAGTTCTGAAATGCTATGTATGGTCAACCCTTCTATATGTCTGTGAATGCTGGACAATCACTAAAGACTGTGAAGATAAGATAGAAGCAACAGAAATGTGGCTTCTTAGGAGACTGCCAAGAGTATCG